ACCATTTACCATTTACCATTTAGATGGGATTTGGGCATACATAACTTTTCACACATATTTGTAAAACAATGTAGAATTTTCCTTACAGTTCACAATCGTGCAACACTTTGTGTTTAACATGTAACTTTACCTGAGAAGCTTATGTCCATTGGTGGTGGCCACCTCTGCTAGACCAGTCAGAACCCTCTGGTAGTGACTGTCACTCTGCTGGGAGACGTGCTCCAGTACCTGCCTGAGCTGCATAAACAACAAAGACATTATTATTACTTTATGCTTTAGAGACATGCTCTCTAAAAACCAACTCATTTCAGTAATAGTTTTCCTTTTCAGTCTTTATCAAACCTCGCCTGCCTTTACTACTCAATATTTTCCCATCTTTCAATGATACCACAGTGTGTGTTACTGTTTTTAAAACATTTTGGGCCCATTTTCTGGAAAAAAAACAGCAGATTGTGTGGACCCACTGCTCCTTTTGAGGCCCGATGTCTGGACAAACATGACCAGTTATGGTTAAGTTTAAGGGAAGGGTCAGAGATCAGAGACAAGCTGGAAAAATCTGCTATTTGTAATAAATCTAAGGATACATTTTAAAAGATCATTAATATATAATACATACACACAGTGCGTGTGTATGTAAAGCAATAAACTGCTGCACTTTGAGTCAAGATAAAAATAATTACCATATTCTCTTTAACGTCCTCATTCTGTGTCATCTGGATTAGCATCAGGAAGAGTCTAGCATGGTGCTGGATGAGAATCTCACACGTCTCCCCATATCCCCCCTAAGCAGCAAAAAAATGAGTTAAAAGAAGGAAACATGCTCTATTACAGTGAATGGAACTGAATCAGCCACCTGCACACAAAGATCCAAAGGCGTGATTCCATTTTTGTCAGCAAGGTATTTGGCCCCGCGGGAGAGCAGGATCTGTGCGGTGTCTCTCTGGCCATGGCTGAGGAGCAACACAAGATTTGCTTATGGTCCAACAAGAACAGCCAGAACAATCTGAAAACGGCTGAGATCCATGTTTTAGTTTGAGTAATATTGAAAATAGAAGCAGGACAGCGAGGAGAGAATCCTGATACTCCTGCTGAATGGGCTTAGATTTTACTTTGCAACATGTTTTTCTTTTACCTGCAAGCGAAGTAAAGGGGTGTTGCTCCAGAGACATTTGGCCGGTTGATGTCCGCTCCACTGTCCAGTAGACACAACACCGTCTGTGTGAAAAAGTTCACTTTAACATCACATCCTGTGAAGCATTTCTACTAAACACCAGGGCCCCTTTTCTCAAGGAGTCCTCAGAAAAAAAAGTGTCTCCTGGTCAAATCATTTCAGGACGATTCAGAGAATTTTTCCGATCCTCATATTGTATTTTCTCCAATTTTCCCTGTAAGATAAAAGCTATTCACAAATAGTTTTAATCCTTCATAGAGCATCTAAAGTATAGAGGTGTTAAAGGCAGGAGGAGGATTTTAAGTGAGCAAAGAGTTTCTAAAACAGAGGAGACGGGAAACAGAAGGATCGCTGGATCCACATCCTAAAAAGTGGAATATTTGAGCACATTAAACTCTAGAACAATCATCTTGCCCTAAAGCCGGGTATACACTGTGCAATTTTTTTCCATCGTTGCATGCAGCTACAGCTCACACTGTACAACGAAACCACAGGGTTTAAAAGTTCACAGCTCACGATGTTTGTTCTCACACTGTGCGGCCCCGCGCTCTGATGCGATCTACCTGCTCACACTGTACGTCTAAAAACCAGGTGGGACTCAGCTCCGCAGTGAGACTACTTGGACTCGTCTATCTGGAAGCCAAACGAGTAGAAGAGGAACATGAAGCTCACTAGAGTGAAACGCGCTGCCTTGGCAATTTTGTGCTAAAAGCCCTAAAAAGAAAAGGCGACGATGTATTTAGACAAAGACATGGCGGAGCAACCGTGGCTACTACGGTCTGTCAGTTTTACAGAAAGAGCTCCATGTCACTCGCATCCTAACCTGACTCCGCCAGATTGATTTGTTCCGCATATCCATCTGGAAAC